ACTCCCTCCCGGCTTGCCGTGGTGCACCAACCCCTTCAGGCTGTGTTCATTCCGCCAACCCCAGTCCTCTCCCGAGCCTCAGCTCCCAGCCCCACCCGCCCCAGCGGGCGAGTAGAGAAGCCTCTCGAGCTGGTGAGTGCCGGTCGGCACCGATCCTCTGTGCGGGAATCTCTCCGCTTTGCCCTCCGCACCCGTTGCTGTGCTCTCCTCCACGGCTCCGAAGCTTCCCCCCCTCCGCCACCTGCAGTCTCCGCCCGCGAAGGGGCTTCCTAGTGTGTGGAAACCTTTCCTCCTTCACAGCTCCCTCCCACTGGTGCAGGTCCCATCCCTATCCTTTTGTCTATTTTTTCTTTTCTCTTTTACCCTACCCAGGTACGTGGGGGGTTTCTTGCCTTTTGGGAGGTCTGAGGTCTCCTGCCAGCGTTCAGTAGGTGTTCTGTAGGAGTTGTTCCACGTGTAGATGTATTTCTGGTGTATCTGTGGGGAGAAGGTGATCTCCGCGTCTTACTCTTCCGCCATCTTCCCGGAAGCTCCTCTGTACATTGTTTTATCTGTATCCATAAATATTATGTTGTGTTTTCATTTTCATTTAGTTCAGAATATTTTAAAATTTCCTATGGAAGTTCTTTGACCTATGGGTTATTTAGAAGTGTGTTGTTTAATTTCCAGATATTTATATTTTCCCAGATTTCTTCTAGCAGTATATCTCTAATGTGATTACATTATTCTCAGAGAAATACTTTGATTTCAGACTTTCAAAATTTTTTGAAGCATACTCCCACCTTGGAGCCCTCACTCCAATATCAGGATGATAGATTACTTCACTTTCTGTAAGGCTTCTCTCAAATGTCACCTTCTCAATGAGACCTACTCAGACCAACAGTAAAATTGCAACCAACACTACCACCACCTTCTAGCCCTTCCAGTTATCCCTTATGCTGCTGTATCTTTTCTTTTTCATAGCACTCATAACCTTCTAGCATACCATATAATTTACTTAGTTCTTTGAAGGTAGGGATCTTTGTTTTATTAATGTGTCCCGAGAACCTAGAATACTACCTGGATCATAATAGTCACTGAATAAATACTTTTGAGTATATACATTAGTATATTCATCCACTTGGTCATATGTAACCAAAACTTGTTCACTTTTTTTGTAATATAGGATTTTATTATATAAACTTACTACAATTTAATAATTGATTCTTCTTAGGTGGATACTTATATTTTTGCTAGTTTCAGGCCTGTTATAAATAGTACTGATCTAAATATTCTCATTATTGTATTCTGGTGCACTATGCCCAAATTATTCTAGGGTATATATGTAGGAGTGGAATTGATGGGTCATATTATGAGCATATATTCAGCGTTAGTAGGTAATGTCATGGTGATTTGCACTGTGGCTGCACATTCCTACCAGCAATGTATGGGGGCTCCATTTGCTCTACAGCCTCACTGACATGTGGTATTGGTATTCTTTTTTATTTTTTGCCAGTATGGTATTCCCTTCTTAATTAGTATTTCCCTGAATTCTAATATTGAGCACTTTTGCATACATTTATTAGCCAGTGTATTTCTTCTTTTGTGAGGCACCTTTTTCTGTCTTTTGCCCATTTTCCTAATGATTGTGTTCTTTATCAGTTATTTGTATAGAAAATATCTTTTTCCATTCCATGAGTTTTCTGTTTAGGACATTTTGATGAACAGAAGCTTTTAATTTTAATGTGGTTGAATTTGTCGATATATTCCTTAATGGTTAATGCTTTTTGAGTCTTAAGAAATCCTTCCATAAATATTCTTATACCTTGCTGGTGGAAATGCAGAATAGTACAATTCCTACAGAGTGGAATTTAGCACTGTATAGAAAAATTACATACACATTTGCCTTTTATCTCAGCAATGCCACTTCTTGGAATCTATTTCAGAGATATACTGAGAAAATACAAAGTCCTGTATGCAGAAGGCTGTTTGTCAGGGCATTATTCACAATAGCAGAAAAGACTGGAAACAACACCAAGGTGCATCAGTAAGGGAGTAGTTGAATAAACTATTGTACATCCACACAATGAAGTACTATGCAGCTATAAGAAGGAAAGGGAAGAGCTCTATACATTAATATGGAATTATCACCAGGATATATTGCTAAGTGCAAAAAAGTAAATTGTAGAACAGTGAAGTAAGTTACCTTTTACATAGGACAGGGGGTATAATGAATTATATATATACACACACACACACATACACACATATATATGTGTGGTGTGTTTGTGTCTATTTGCTTATATTTCAAAAAATAAACAATGGAACCATAAATCCAAAACCTAATAAAATTATTACTTATGGAGAAGGAAAGGAGTGGGATGAAGGGGACAGAGGTGGAAGTGAGACTTCTGTGAAGGTACTGTATAACACAGTTTTCACTTTAGACCCATGTAAATGTTTTGCATAGTTTAAAAAATTAATCAAAAGGGAAAAAAGTTCAATCCTTAAAATTTATAAACAGCCTGAAGCAAATGAGCCTAACTATGAATAAAGTTGATAGCATAACCATATAGAGAAAATAATTATTTAAAATGACTTCAAAACAGTATTTGTATATTCCGAATGGGATATATTTTAAGGTCAAAAGTAACTGCAAAGAATTATAAAACTGTATTAAGTAGTTTTGTTGTTGATAGTCATATTAGTATTGTTGGTAACCATATTAGTATTGTTACTGACATTTAAAAGTTCTATATATTTTAGGAAAAAGCTAATAAATAATTTTGTTAATATCATTAGGAGCCAATATCTTAAGCACATGTGAAAAGAGATACTAGTCAAAAATCAAGGAGTTTGAGTTAAAACTTTGTAATCTTAAATTTGAAGTGGAAATACCAGTATGAATTTATGATTTATTTTTCGTAAAAATTTTCCTACCTTTGTTCACTGAAAAGGCCTAGAAGCAACAACAACTCAACATTTATGAACAGAACTAGCAACGTATTGTGGTTTCTAAACACTATTTCCCACTAACAGGAGCCAGCTGTCCTTAGAGAAATATTCCAGCTTTGAGTCAGGAAATATGCAAGATGAGCTTAAGACATCTTGCTGTGCCAGAAAACTGGAAAGCAATACAGGAGCCAATTTTAAGGGACTTTCACTAGTCCTGAGTGGGATAATTTGACCACTAAAAAGAATGACTACATTTAATTGAAACACATCAAATATATGAAAATACAGGTCTCACAATTATACTAATAATAATCATTTTTAACACTTTTAAAGTACCAACTTGGGCTTCCCTGGTGGCGCAGTGGTTGGGAGCCCGCCTGCCGATGCAGGGGGCGCGCGCGGGTTTGTGCCTCGGTCCGGGAGGATCCCGGGTGCTGCGGAGCGGCTGGGCCCATGAGCCGTGGCCGCTGGGCCTGCGCATCTGGAACCTGTGCTCTGCGGCGGGAGAGGCCACAGCAATGAGAAGCCCGTGTATCACCAAAAAAAGAAAGAAAGAAAGAAAGAGAACAAAAGATATCTTATATTAACACATATATGTGGAACCTAGGAAAATGGTACAGATGAACCTGTTTTCAGGGCAGAAATAGAGACACAGATATAGAGAACAAATGTATGGGCACCAATGAGAATTGTAATGAAAGAAACCTAACAAATATCTTTAAATCTATGAGTTCATAGTGATATATTAAAAAAAAAATTAGTCACCTATGAATGACAAGGAACCAATTCATTATCTTAAAGACTAGGGAGATAAAATGAAAGAACCAAGCATTTATCCTGCTTTTGCTGTATGAACTGTATGTAGGGAAACCACATAGTTGATGACGGTAAGTCCATTATAGAATTCCAGATAATAAATACAGAAGAAATAATAGAAATAATAAATACAAAATAAATAATAGAATTAGGGGAGCTCCATTTTACAACTCTTAGTAAATTAATGGATTTAGGCAATGGTCATCAATAGATGCAAAACCCCTTAGGTGAAATGTGAATGGGAAAACTTCATAATGGAAATATCAGACTAATACCAACCACCTGAATCCACTGATCAATTTTAGCATCACTAGAAAGGGGACCACTAAACATTATGTGCCTTATGACATGATGTAATAGGAAATACACATCTATATAATATATGGAGGATTCTTGCCTAAAAATATTGAACCCAAATCTAAATCAGCAGTACCCAATGCACCTTTCTACAATGATGTAAGTGGTCTTTATTCTGCCCAGTATGGTATCCACTAGCCACATGTGCTTGTTGAGCATTTGATATTCCTAATTTAACAGAGGAACTGACATTTTAAAAATTAATTTAAATAGACTCATGTGGCTAGTGGCCACATTGAAAGCATAGCTCTAGTTTTAGCTGCCAGTTTGTAAGAAATAGAGGGGATTGAGGAACAAGTTAAATAATATCATGAGGAGCAGCCAGTCAAATTCATTTGTTCTATGAACAAATGATGTGGTTTCTCTAATAAATCAATGGGATGGGGGAAGAAACGGGTTGGAGGGGTGGGAAAGAAGGGGCACTGTTTGTTTGTTTTTTTAATGAGCCTTAAAAGATATAACAGCCAATGGCTGGTTTAGATCCTGAACCAAGTGTAAAAAGATATCTTTGAGAAAATCAGGGCCATTTGAATATGAACTCAGTAGTAGATAATGCTAAGGAATTATTATTAATTTTGTGAAGTGTGATAATGCCATACTAGTTACATTTTTCAAATGTCTTTATCAGTTAGATGCATGTACTTGCATGACCCTGAGAGTGAGCACCTCAAATTTTGTACCCCAGGTGCCTCACTTGCCTTACCATAAGCCCGGCCTTGCCCAAGATGCACTGTAATAACATAGCTATATATTATTGTCATTTTTCACAGGTTGTAAACACCTGCCCCAGCAGAGTTTCATTATCTGAGATTCAAATTTTAATTTTTATTAATTTGTCAAAGGTTGTATTGGTAGGCTTTGTAGAACTTCCCTATCTCTTTGTCTTGATCCAGATGAATCCCAAAAGAAGAACAAAGGTGATCCCATGAACAACCTGGAAAATTTTTACCAAGAGATGATAATGAAAAAACGTCTTGAAGAGTTCCAACTAATGAGAGGTGAACCCTTTGCTTCCCACTCACTGGTCTCAGCTACATCAGTGGGAGATAGTGGCACAGCTGAGACCCCGTCATTACTCCAGGACAAGGGAAAACAGGCAGCACAGGGTAAAGGTCCCAGTCTCCATGTGGCAAAAGTTATTGATAATTCACCTGAGCAGTGTTGGACGGGGCCTAAGAAGCTGACGCAGCCAATAGAATTTGTCCCAGAAGATGAGATCCAGAGAAATCGTTTGTCAGAGGAAGAGATCCGAAAAATTCCTATGTTTTCTTCATATAATCCAGGGGAGCCAAACAAGGTATAGGCCAAACCAAGAAAAAAAAAATGGGTTGTTTTTTTATTTACTTCTACCTAAAGTAATACTTTTATATTAGCTTTGATTATACCAAAGAATCATGACATAGGCACAGTGATTGTGTTTTTCCTTGACCTTGACTATTCATTCTCTGCTATATAAGTAGCTCTGACTATATAAGTAACATATTTCCTATGATGTTCTTCGTGGTTTTCTAAGGTCTTAAGCTACTCTTAGAATTTTAAAGAAATCTTGATCAGACTCTAGTCCATACCCACTAGAAACCCTCACCTGAAAAAAAGTAACCTCTAATTTCCTAGGCTACTAATAAATCAAGTAGTATTCATAGTACCACCATATCTGGTAGCCATGGTGCCTGGTTGTGAGTAGGGTTTACTATTACCACATGAGTTTTCTCTTCAGAATGCTCCACCTGGCTTTTATATGACATATGACTTAAGTTGCTGATAGCTAAGCAGCAAAGTGAAAGCACAGGGCCTCTAAGCCTTGAGGAATTGGCAAATATCTAAGAAAAGTTGTAAATAATCCTTGTTTTGTTGATCATATCATTATTTCACATTCATGGTATGTGTTACATACAGAATTGAAAATTTCATTATCATGTCACTCAAAGAAGCAACACAAGCCCCTGGAGTATATACTTGATTGTGTCTAATTTAAAAAACAAAACTAAAAAAATAATGTTAGCTTCTGGCTGTCCCTGAATTTTTACAAAGGCATCATAGGTAAGGAATATTAAAGCAGTTTCCTTTGAATGATTGCATTTCTAATATATTCTTGATGTTCAAGGGTAGCTTGATTTTTATTTTTTATTATGAAATATTACTCATTACAAAAAGTTACAGAGAATAATATAGCAAAAACTTTTGTACCCAGCCAGCCATCTTTATCAATTCTTGCCTTTTTTTTTCTTGGCCATGCCACGCAGCTTGTGGGATTTTAGTTCCCTGACCAGGGATTGAACCCAGGCCCTTGGCAGTGAGAGCGCAGAGTCCTAACCACTGGATCGCCAGGGAATTCTCTATCAATTCTTAACAGTTTCCATATATGCCTAATTAAAAAAAAATAAGGCCTTATGGAGATGCCTGAAGACTTTCATGTATCCCTCCCCAATCCCATTCCTCTTTCTCCTTTCCAGTGGTAACCACGATCCTGTATTTGCTATTTATCATTCCCATCCGTGTTTTTATATTTTTACTATATATCTATATATTCATAAACAACATATAGTTTTACATATTTTTAAAATATATAGATGATATCATACTCTACATACCCTTCTACAACTTGCTTTTTTGACTCAATATACATGTTTTTGAAATTTATTTCTAAAGATATAAGGAACTATGTAGTGTTCCGTTGTAGAAAGATACTATAATTCATTTATCCATTCTCCTGAAGATTTTTTCTTTTCATTTTTTTCTGTTATAGACAGTTCTGCAGCAAACATTATTGTACATATCTCCTGTTGCATATGTACAGGAGTTTCTCTAGGACAGGTTTTCAAATCTTAAATTACTATTAGTAGGTCACAACTAGCAATTTTTTAAAGAAATGAAATAGAATAGAAAATATCAAAGTGCATTCCATAGAGTAGTAAGGATGATTATTGTTTCTTGAAGCTTTCGTTTAATATGTGTGTGTGTGATATGTATGTGGGCCAGAATATAAAATGCATTTCTTCCAATAGATCTCAGTCAAAAAGGCCAGAAAAATATTGCTCTATTGCAGTGATTCTCAAATGTTAGTGTGCAGCAGAATCACCTGGAAGACTTGTTAAAACACAGATTGCTGGGTTCTGCCCTCAGAATTTTTTGTTCTGTACATCTGGAGTAGGGCCTGAGAATTTGCATTTCTAATTTCCCAGGAGATACTGATGATGTTGCTGGTCTGAGAGTGACATTTTAAGAATCACTGTTCTATATTACATATCTAGGAGTGGAATTCCTGTGATATAGGGTATGTGTATCTTCACCTCCATGAGCAGGGTTTAAGAAATCTCTTCTACATCTTTGCTAAGACTTTAAAGTTTTTGACTTTTTATTTTTGCCATTCTAATGTGTTTGAAAGGTATCTCATGGTTTTAATTTGCATGTTCCTGATTTCCAAAGAAGTTATGCATGTATTTATACATTCATTAGTCTTTCAGGAACCTTCTATGAATTGCCTGTTCTGTTTCTTTGCCCATTATTTGATTATTTAGTTTTTAATATTATTTATAGATTTTGATTATTTAGTTTTCGATATTATTTATAGATTTTATTTTAAAATTCTGGATACAAACCCTTGCTGCACCTGGTGAGTAGCTTATATTTTTAACATTGTTTCTGATTTCTTTTGTTAAGCAGAAGTCTTTCATTGTAACGTAATTAAATCATCAGTATTTTATTTGATGGTTTGTGCTTTTTGAGACATTT